CAGGAAGTCTAACAACAGAGTTCTAGCCTATTACCTTACAGAAAATTATATACCTACTGCTTTATAGAATAATGATTTTATCTTAAACAAATTCTGTCAAATGGATGCTATAATAGGATATTATTAGCACAGAATGCACATTCTTGATAAGGTATCCATGGCTCTTTCAATTAATAGGTCTGGAGAATGATGAACTGCTGTAACTTAATCAAAGTAGTAGTACATTTTGATAAGCATGAAATTAGAAAGAATAATTACAGGGGATCAACCCTATTTCATCTGTGACAAGTGAATTTGATTAAACTGGTTTCTATACAGATGTCACAGGTCTAAAATACCAAGAGCCAATGCTGTTCCTTAAAGACCCTCATCACCAGCAGGTAATCCCTTATGCTCATCCCTTACTAGTCATCCACTGTTTCATCATCTGTGAGCAAGATTATTTTAGTAAATGGTATTTGCAGGGTTGTATTTCCTGACAGCTGCCACAATTCTCTACTGGTTCAATGCCAGAACAAGCCCAGGTATTGATGAGGATCTCTCAGTCACATGGGATCTCATTGCTTTTGTAAACATCTACTAAACTCTCTGTGTACCTCTAGCTGTTGACTCTGGAGATAACAGTATCTAGATCCACCTGCAGGCTTTTAGTTTATAACCTGCCCTTTAGCATTAGGTCCTTTTCACTACACCTTAAATCTTTCTAGACAAAAAAAATATTTATTTAATTTAGCTCAGCTTTCATTTTCTGAGTTTATGTAAGCAATTGTGTTTAAACAGCATTATATATCTACAATTGAAAGTGGATGGAATACAATAAATATAGTAAACAACTATATTAGGGAAATATATATATAACAACAAAAAAAGTTTATATAAAAAAAAAATGGTAGCATGAAAAGGATGTCATGGTGATAGCATAACACAGCAAAAGTCCTGTTCCAACCTAACCATACAGCCAGTCATCTGACTAAAGAGACACTGGCAAGGATAACAGCTCTGTGCCTGAAACCACTGAAAATGATGTAGGAAAAGGAGTGAGTTTGGAGGACAGCTCAGTTGGAGCAGAGCTATCTATACTCACCCTATACAATAAAACTGAGACATTTATGCACTAGGAGTGCATCACACTGTGGAGTGTGTGTAGGTGTCCCCAGCCCCAAAAGGTCAGAGAAGGTCACAGCTCTAGAAGATATGCCAGTACAGAATATGCCGTGCAGCCTCACTTTCTGGACACTTCTTGAATCTGGAACCAGCATAATTTTTGCCTGGACACAGACTCCCGAGCTGAGTCTAGCTACTTTTCCTCACTGTATTTAGAGTACATCACCTGAAATCTGCCTTATCATTGCATCCGTTTCCATCTTCTGCAAGTCTTCTCACTGAGAGCTTCCTCTGATGCAACATCACACTCAGTAATTCTGGCATGCGAAGACCATCACCATATTTATAATAAAAGGCCAGATATTGTCCTCTTTGCATGTTACCTAATAGCTCATGAGGTGGCTTGCTCTCTGTCTTGCTCCTAGTGAACATCTGTTCGTGTCACAGACTGTATACAATGTTGGAAAAATAGCCTGGAGTTAGATGGGTCAACAAAACCAAAGTTATGTCTTCCTTGAGCAAATGTTACTGGATGCACACTTGAGGGACATGGGGCCACAGTCATGTGGCCCCCTCTGTTGTCCCCTCTGCTACCCTTGTTCTTATACACACATATAGGTATGCATAAACACGTGAGCATACATTGTTTATTTCCTTAAACATAAAGTATTTGCATGTGCTACCTTCAACTACTTAGGAAATATGGAACTGTTCAGCATCCCACAGGGGAAGAGCCAGCCACTTCCTCTAGGCAAAAAACCACCAACAAAATCCAGCTACAGGAAGCACAGACCCACCACCACAAATGTCACACACTTTCTAACACATTCTCCTCTGTCATTTTGTTTTCGTTGCTGGTCTGCTATCTTCACTTCTTTCTGTACTTTCCTTTTTAACTAGAAAATTACTTCTTCCCTGGAAAGGATCTGAGCCATAGAAATTACTAAACAAGAATTCACTGGTCTAGCTACTACAGCATGGTTTGTTTGACTTTGCCTTTCCTGCTCCCATCCTCACTCTGTGCTGCCCTGCTATCTCCTTAAAGCAGGAGCTCGCTATTGCTCTCCATCTGTGCAAGGCTGGAACAGCGGATTTCCACTCCCGGTTGGTAACTAGGAATTAAGAGATAAACAGGTTGTAAAATTATGGTTGTACATTGCTTAGCAAACTAGGATTTTATTCCATATTGGCCCCTACACACTTAAAATAAACAGAGTTTAGAATTATCTAGAATGAAAGAGCTGTAAGAAAACAATGAGGAATTGCCAGTAATGTCAAGGCACTTAAAATTCACACACTGCTTTATGTTTTCACAAACCCTCTTTATATGTCTTTCTTAATTAGCAAATGATCAACTGTGTAGCTAGAATACAAGTTTCTTATCTGAAGAGGGCCACTGATGACATTGCCTGATAAACTATGTGCAATGTCATCATCATGGCTAGGCTGCGCAAATGAAGATTTGAGTTTTAAGATGTGCAATGAACTACAATAACAACTGACTGCACAGAAAAACATCCCATTTTTTTGAGCACACTTACAGTAAGCAAGTGATTGCTGCACAGGAAATTAGAAAAGAGTGTAGGAAAACAGCAATTCCGTGGATTATCTGTTTATGATTAATTCCTCACTGTGAAAGTTATTAAAAATTGCACACAAAGCCATTCAAACTCAGTGTGGTTTCTCAGAGCACGAATGCATGCACAGTCACTCTGTAAAGTGAAACAAAGCTTACTTGTAACTTCCCCATCAAGGGCTTGCTCAGGTCACAATTGAGTACTTACATGGCATATTGTAACAACATCTGGTCTAAATGGATTTTGAGCAGCTGTCCTATTCCCTTGACTACTAGGTAGTATCAAGAATTAGTAGAGGTCAAGCCACAGTAAAACAAACCATCAGAATGACATTTCTACCTATTAGTTGTGATCATCTTCTCTCCACTAATAGCATCTTGTCACTGTCATTCATCAAGCCCTCCTGCCCTTGCAACCACAGGGCAAGTGCCATGCCAGATGCTCACTGTACAGTGGGCAAGTGCTGAGTGAAGCTCAGCTAAGACCTTCCTTAATGAAACACCAGATTGGTCTTCTCTGATGTATTTATCACTTCTATTTAAATTCCACAGCTAACACAACATACACTATAAATAATAAAAGTAGTTACCACAGTATCTTACAAGGGTCCAAATCTATGTCATATGTTTAGCGAACTACAGATGGCCAACAGAGGATTTACCATCTAGAAAGTCAGGGGATGAGACTGTGACATAGGTCTTCAGCATAATTTTGTCTGCCAGGGCCTTGCTGAAACACCTGACAAGATTATCAGTTTGATGGTTTCTGTGTTTTTTTCTCTATTGGGGAAAAAAAAAAAAAAAAGGAAGCACTTATCCAAGTTCTCTTTAGGTTCTTTGAACTGGTGGCCAGCTGCTTTGGTTTCAGTCACCATCATACACTACTTTAACAAAACAAACAAAACCCCACAAGCTCCCCCCAAACCAAACAACAAACCCCAAACAAACAAACCCCCCAGGTTTTCTTTGTTTGTTTGGCAACATCTATTTGAGGCAGACTGACCAAAGCAAACAGTACATACTCAACTGCCAGTACCTACTGAACTCAAAGGGTTTGGGGAATTATTCAAGACATTTCAATATTGTAGATTTTTCTTTTTTTTTCAGAGAAAAATTAAGCAAAGAGAACCCATTTATTCCACTTTGCTCGTATCTGTATAATAAAAATGCAACCACTTGTACTTTAGTAAGATTGCATTTGCTCCTGCTTTATATTTTGCAACCGTCCTGCAAACATCCTCAGAAATGTATTAAATGATATCTTGAAAGATTTAAGGATCTCCTATTTCCCTTTAATTAACAAGTAGAAAACGGGAAAAGTTTGACACCAGTGTAAACACCCATTTAACTTACCACGACAAAACCCTTCCGTTAGAATTTACCACCTGCAAGACGTCACCCAAGCCACCTGTAATTAACCGCAGGTGACTGTCACGTAGTCAGATACTCCGCCACTGCCTGCCTACGGTCGGGACGGCGGCGCTTCGAAACCCGCAGGTCGGCGGCGGCGAACTTAAGAACCCCTTTATAGCGGGGAGAAAAGACGGCCGCAGCCCGGGGCGAGAAGCCGGGGGAGCCCGGCGTGCCCAAACACCGCAGCCGAGGCGGCTGCCTGCGGAGCGCGGAACGCTTTCTCCACGCCGTGGGCAGCTTCTTCGGGGCATGCTGCCGTGTGAGCAAGAGACCTGTACAGGGTCTATATAAGTTTTTGTACTTTTTTTTTTTTTTATAAGTTACTCTCGGGCAGGGGGCGCGGTTACTGCGGCTCCCACCATCCCGGCCGCCAGCAGCCTCTCACTCCGCTCCGGTCCTCCGCGCCCGGGCTCACCTCGACGAGCCGCTGCAGGGCGGGCCCCTGCAGGCAGGTGTGGTTGGCCAGCAGCTCCAAGCGCTCCTGGAGGAGGCGCTGGGCCGCCCGTACCTCGGCCGGCCGCTCCAGCGCCTGCAGCACGGCGGCGCCCATCCCCACATAGCCCAAGTAGGCGGCCAGGAGCACCGGCACCCCCCAGCGCCGCCGCCACCGCTGCTGCAGCCGCGCCGCCAGCATCGCTCCACGGCCGCTGCCGCCCCCGGCGCTGAAGAAGCGGCGGGGGCGGGAGCGGGACCGCCCGCGGGAGGAGGGCTGCGCCGGCCGGCCCCCTGCGCCTCCCCCGGCCTGCCCCTGTCCACAGAGTCGGGTTGTGCCGGGACAGGCAGGTGGTTGTGCCGCTCCCCGCTGCAGCAGCCCACCGCGCCGCCCCCGTCCTCCTCCGGTGCCGCTCCACTTCACACCTGTCCGTTCCAGAGCGCGGAGCTGCCCCAGGGGTCCCTTCTCCGCGCCGCGAGTGCCTGAGCAAGCGCCGGCACCGAGTCACGTTCGTCCCTCCGAGGGATGCTAGCCAGCCCCTTGCCCAGCAAATCCAAGTATCTCTCTCATCAGATGGCACTATTAAAGTACTACTACGGCAGTAGGTTGCGTAAATCTGCTCTCCTCCTTCACTGCTAATTTAATTTAAAAGGCAGCAAACAGGTATTTGTGATAACAACTCTTAGATATAAACAAGTGAAAAGGTAGCAAGTTTGTCAGAATCTTTTTATAATTTGTAATTTTCCTGTGGAAGTACTTTCTTCATATAGGTAGTTCTCAAGACCGCTTTGATTAATTATTTTCTGTAGAAAACTATATCTAATGTTCCTTTCTGTTCTCTTACCAGCAGATAAAACAGCTAAGTTACTTTTGGTGTATAAAATCTTTTTAATTTACCTGTTTTGTTGTGTAATGTGAGCTAAGGGGGGACAAACCCACTAGATTTCTGAACAGGATGCCTTTATGCACTGTCACATGGAAATGCGTTCTCACACTGCCCTCTAATTATTTTTGCCAGGGACGCGTGCATACTGTTACAAATAAGGCAACCTTCAAACAGATATTGCCCCACTGCAACTCTTGTGGAGATGTGCTAATCTCTGTTTTTCTGGGCTGTGCTTTAAAGTGATTAGCATAAACACATGATTTTGCTAGCAAGATGCAAAAATTAATATGTGAAGACTAGATCAATTCCAGAGTAAAGATATCATCCTGAGCACAGTTCTAGGGAAAAAAAAAAGTTATGCTGCTTATTGCTCAATCTTAACTCTATCTTTTCAGGGAATTCATTACTGAATGATATTTAAAGCAAAAATGGAATTATGTAAAAAAGGAAAGGCTTCTATAAAAATATATATGAGAAAATAAAAGTGCAAAGATACTAAAAAGAATATATACTTGTCACCTCTTTCATTGAAGATCGGGAAATAAATACATCTGAGCTACATTTTGACATTTTAACTGCATTTAAACCCAGATATTTTATACAAAGCACACTGTATAAACTGTATATACAAAGCACACTGTAACCATTCTGAAACATTATGAATAAACACATAGCATTTAATATTAATACTAAAAATATATAAAACAAATTACAGGGGAGACTCAGGAGTTTTAACTACAAGACAGATTGCGAAAACCCAGGACCTCAAGCATGTGCTTACTAGGAAACTGGGGAGAAAGAGATCAGGATTCACAATAAATCTTCACAGACTTATATAATATTTAAATGGCTGGTTTTCTTGAGTACTCTCAGAAGTGTCGCTTGTCTGTCAGTCTTCTATTTACATCTCCACAGAGAAGGGCTCGAATCTTGCCGATGATATTTTGAAGTTGTCTGGAAGGTACCGATATATCTCAGGATGAAGAAAGGCTTGTTGCGTAGGCTTAAAGGGTAAGTGTAAGACTGGAAGGACATTTGCTTCTTGTCCTGCACTGGACTGCAAGTGGTAGCTGCTCATCACAGATGAACACTGCCTGAGCCATCACTTCTGCCACAAACTGCAGAGCTACATTCAGAGGCTTCAGAAGTGCTGTTTTCCATGTGTTGGAGCTAAATATGTGCACTCTCCATTATGCGCAGAAATATACCACTGGTAAAATGGGCTATTAGACCAGAAGAGTCCCTTTTGTGTGCTCCTCTGGCTCCTAGCAAGCCCTTGTGATTGTGCAGTTCTTCCACGTTACTTTTCTTAGCTGGTCAGTTGATAATTGACAACTGCCTTTTTATTAGAGGAAGGTTACCAGAAAGCACTTGGTCCATCCATGTTCAAGAACTAGGCCAGTGCTCCCACTATATATCTCAAATTAACTTCAATTACAGATGTGCATGACATTTAGGATCTTTTAGGACCTTGAAAAATTGACAAAGCAAGCAAGAAATTTCTATCACTTCTGTAATGCATGAGAGGGCATCAGTATCCTTCTTGTTTCTATTCCAGTGTGGCCATATGCTTGATTTAAGGTATCTTTTTAAGTCTTCTGGCAGACAGCTGGACAACTGCTGCAGCTACTCTCAGCTTTACTAAACACAGCAGTAGCAAAAAATTCAGAAGATGGTCTCACCATGCTGCTACTTTGCAAAATCATTAGCAGATACAGGAACAATTTTCTGGACTGCAGTAAAAAAATTCCAAACTTCCTGCTATCAGATGTCAAGTAAGGATAACTTTAAGAAACACTTTGCCAGTAACTGCTTTCTATCCCTGATAAACCTCATTATCATTTTTTATGGCATGCAGCATGGTGTAAAACATTGTATAGCATCACCTTTAGAGCAGTGCATGTGTTGTGGGTGGCTGTGGTTAGATAAAGTAAGGAAGGTATGGAAAAATGCAGGGTGAAGAGAACAGGTTAGATATAAAAGTCAGCAGAACTTTAGTTTCATCTTTCACATAAACAGGCCAAAAATGTCTTGTAGAGTTAACACAAGGCAGGTACAGAATACAGTGATGGTGATGATGTTAAAAAGTGCAAGTGCAAACATTATGTCTGAAGAATAGAAAATACTGAGAAAGTCTCCTGTGAGATTTGCAAAGATACAAAAAACCAGACAGGAGATAATTGGCTGCTCTCAGTAAAAGTCTACCAAGAAAGCTGTTGCATAAATTTATGGGAATAGCTGAGGGCATAGGGAAGATCAGTGAAAAAACAGAGGAGATAAAATCTGTGAGGTAGGTAGTGGTAAGACATGAGGTAAATCTTAGATGGGATAAGCATTTGAACATTCATTTGAACACTTGAAGCTAGTCTAATAAACCATACCCCGCATTCTTATACGCCAGCATTTCAAATTTGAACAGCTATGCTGCACTATGCAGGTGTCAGCAACTGGCAAACAAAACAACCACCATGTCAGATGTAAGAACAAATGTCTGTTGTGACCCTTCTCAGGAGTAAAAATCTAGCTCAGAAAGTATGCATGAAAAGATTAGTGACCTACACAAGCCTCTACATGTTTTATGGACACATCTCCAAAATGAAATATCAAAGCAGCTGCTGAAAGGCTGATATTTGATGTTCCTGTAGCCTGTCAGACACACGCTAGCTTGGGGCTGGTCTACATATGCAGTCATATTTCACTCACACTTTACATTAAAGTTCCTCTTATAAATGAGTTTAAAAGGATTAATTGATGGTTACTATGAGGTATAAACATACTGAATAAATAGCAGTATGTATATAATTACAAGCACGCCCATGGAATGTGTTAGTGATGGTTATAACCAACTGAACGTGGTACCCAATGAATGGATAATTGTTTTATCAAGTTTCCGTAGTTCACTTCAATAGAGAATATGACTACAGTTTTTCATCTCAGTGACTATCCTCTTATAAGATGCTTATATGACCTTCTTTGGTTTTTAAGCTTCTTTGGAGATGGCTTCTGCTACTTTTGACTTAAAATAACTGTGATAAAATCAAACTCCCTATTTCTCACGGGTGACACTAAACTCGAGTGAGGATCAGATCTGATGCAAGAGCCTATCATCAGCCTTATTTAGAGATAAACATACAGCATCAAATCTGTACGGTGCATGATAGTTTTTCAGTGAACTGGCCCAAATAAAATGCCAGACTCTAATATTATTTGTGACTTGGCTAGAAATAAGGAAATCTGCTTACATTTAAATTTAGTTTGAAGTGCTGTTAAAGTGGCTGCGAAATGAACTGTGATGAGGACCTGCTTTGAGCTGCCAGTTCACTTTGAGATGAATTGTAACAGTCCAGGCAGTGCTGGATAGACACATAATTTCTACACAATTAAAAGAGAAGCATTTTAGCCCGGAAAATAAATGTTTTCATTTTATGTGAAAGCTGCTCATTTCAGACAATATCAAGTGAATCTTAACTCGATGGCTGTCATTAAGCAGGTTTTCATTGGTGTTGATATTCCTCTATGCTTTTCCTTGTTTTCTGACTGGAAATGAAGAAAGATTTCTGTACCTGACTTTTTCCACTTGAGATTCTTGATGACATGACTTCTTACTGAAGCTGGGAGGCAGTCACTCTGGATTTTTTTGAAAATGAGTGACCACAAGAACTGAATCCCACTAGAGGAAGACAAAGGATAATAATTAATTACTTCAGGGGAGGTTGCCTTTTTTGAGTGAGAATTGTAAAATGAATCCTGGGACAGTTGTATAGCTACTCCTTTGGAGGTTTTGTGTAGGCTGATGCCTATACAGGGTGTGGAAATTTCCATGTTTCTGGAACATTTCCTCCTTAGGAAACAGTCCAAACCCTGTGGTTTAGTCCTTTATCCACAGGGCTTGCTTAATGTGAGATACAGATGAAAGATGCAGTTTCAGACCGCTCTCTTTGTACCTTGCTCAGCTAGGGATATGAATTCTACGCTGTTCAGGTTCATCTTCCAATTTGGTGGTGCTTCCTTCTGCCAAGCTTGAGTCAGACTTATGCCCCTTTAGCTGAAGGAATTTTTCCATCAAGTCAGCTCCCACGTTGAAGACCAGAGCCAGCCAGGCCAAACCAAAAACAATCCAAATTGCAGTTAGGCTCCTGTACACAGGGATATAGTGCTTGTTGGGGTTTGTGCCTGAAAAATCCGGGGAAATTTGCGTATTAATCTTGACAGCTTTGTTCTGCTGAACATACATACTGATACACCCTCTCCACCCCCTGCAAAAATGTAGGTTTAGTGAGCTTGTGTGATCTATTAGCAGATAGATCTCTTTTTTTCCTTTTTTTTTTTTTTTAATGCCAGCTCTCAGGTTAAACTTAGCGCAGTTGGCATCAAATCCCTGAAGCTGAGGCTATACAATAAAAATAGCCATATTGAATGTTGATCAGGGATGCACAAAATCAACAGCTCCTAGCCAACAACAAAGGAAAAAAACCATCTTGGAAATTCAGTGTTGAATCCATATTAGCCATATTTTACTCAAGAGAAATACTGAGAATCTCAGATGACTTAGAAAGATACAGTTTAATGATGTAGTGATTCCTATTTGTAGGGTGATATAACTCAGTATGCAGGATTCACAATCACCTGGATACTATAGGAAATGCAGCCATTTTAAGCTAGTAGTTATGAGAATCTTAGTCCCTGGTTTGATATTTCCACAGCATGGACAATCAATGCAGCTGATACAGGCACAACACAGCACTGCAGCTATCCATTTAGTCTCTGTTGTCCAGATCATCATGAAATTCCACAATGCCAGATACAGCATGGGATGCTTTTTTATCTTCTTTTGGGACCTCTAGGAGAGGTAGTACTTGCAAGACCTACTACTTGCAAAGTAAGAGATCCTAGTGATTTTAAGAAATACATACATTAGACATAATCTGTTAAGATTATGCATTTGTTCAAATAAGCATGTGGAAATGTAGCCCCTCACGTGTCTTTACCGTGATGTTCTCAGCCTAGATCTCTAAAGACTATGTAATCTCACTGGGTTTGTTTTCTTTCAGAGGCATCCTGTGGTTGTCAGTAATGTTGTTCCCATTATAAGTATTGATTATTTAATATTTGACATGAATTGTTATTGGGAATGGTAGGCTCTTGCTGAAGCAAATCACTGTTAGGAGAGGGTGGTTTTAAGGCTTAATACTACTTTAAGACAAAGAAATTTCATTTTTATTCCACCTGTCACTCCTGGATCGCATTTGTGGCAGCCTGGGTAGAGACACTGTTGAATGGGGGTGTTCAGTGGCATATGTGTTAGCTGCCAAGAGAAAAATGCTCATGTCCTATAATATATTAGCTCATTATTACTAGTCTTGCTGAGCTCACTCTTGTACCAGATTTATAGTGGAATGGATATCTATGTCCCCCCTATTTAGTTTTATACTAGAGTAACATATTTCAACAAAGCTTAATCCAGTTCACCTTCTTTTTTACCTACTACATAGTCTCCAAATCCAATGGTGCTCAGGGTGATGAAAGTGAAGTAAAAGCCTTCTCCATAACTCCAGCCTTCTACATAACTGAAGACTAATGGCGGGAACACTAGAAAAAGCAAAGTCCCAGTGGACAGGAAGATGGCCACTGCCAGTGTTTGAACCACCTGAAAGATAAAGCGAAGATGGCAGCTAAGCAGCATGGAGCATTTGTCTTGTTGAAATTGCTGGGTCTGTTTTTTCTTGAATCACAAACCCAATCACAAACCCAGTCCACTGGGAGCAGTAGTAAAAAAAGGAAGGATAAGCCAATGCTTCCATGCACTGCAGGCTGAGCTCACTGTTTACTCTGCACATAGATATTTACCTAATCATGAAACAAAAAAACCCCTTAAAATTAGGAAAAAGGAAGGATTTTTTTAAAGCTTTTTGCAATGAGTTTTTAAGAATGCTCCAGTCATATTTTCAGACTTACAACAGCCATAGGAATGAAATACTCACTTTTCAATTTCAATTCAAGAGGAGGTACTCTTGTAATCAATCAGTTTCTGTCTTTGAGGAAAATCACCAAGTATTGCATAACTCATTACACAAAGATTGGCAAGAGAAAATTATTGTTCTTTTCACCATGATTGCTTCCAAAGATTTATAAAGTGGCTTATAAGAGCTCAGCCAAAAATATGTTTGGATGAAACCTAAGTGAAGTCAGTTTACCTTCTTTCATTTTTAACTTAGAAGCACTCAGAGGAAAACTGTTCTGTTAGCACAGGGAAGATCTGTGCCTCTCAGTACAAATGTCTGCCTTCTGGGAGATAAGTTACTGCATATGTGACTGCAAAGACTGGTCAGGGGATGGGTCTTGACAGCAGATTTTAGCAGTTTAGGACTGAGGATCAGGAATTCATGGATTTCCAGGGAACACATTCTGTTGAACTATTGATTAGTGGTGTGCTGATGCAAACTCATTGCAATTATTTAAAAATGCCCTCAAGGGCATTCAAAGCAGAATATGATTTTCTATTCATGTGCCTATTGTGACTGGATGAAAAGCCAAACCACAGTTTATAAAGTAGAAGGTCCAGGTATCAGGTTTCCTTTTCTCTTTCAGTATTACTTCACATATAAAGTAGTGCTCTGAGCTTGAGAAACTTGCTATGAGCCAACTGGGTGACTTGGACAAATCAATTCTATATTATGTGCCATATCTCTCTAGCTGTTATAGTAATACTTAACTCATTTGCACAGCACCTTGAGAATTACCAATCAACATGGTAATAGTTGATATCTGTTCCCATTTAGTTCATTCTAGTAGTGTAATAGCATTTAATTAGATAATGAATTTTGCATAAAAATTTATACTGAAATGCACAATTTTACTTTTTAGCCTGGCTTTTAAGAAATTTCTGGTACAAGCCTATAATGTGGGACAGTAAATCAGGAATAGGGAAGAACTGATTGTAATTAATTTCTCAAAGCATGACAAAATTGTGTTTAAAAGGAGGTAAACCAAATTCCAGGAAGAGGCTTTTCAGGGTAAACAAGCTGATACAGCTCCAAAGCTTTGTCTGATCATAGGAGTTATGCCAGAAATGAGGTGTTAATTCAGGAGTTAAAAAAAAAAAAAAAAATCACATCCCTGAGGTGCTGTAAGAAATCTCAGGAAAGATGTAGCCATACTAACGTGAAAATCCTTCCAGTGGTAGAGCTGCATGTGTTTGGGGAACAGGTATCTGTTATGCAGCTAAAGAAATTTTGCTTATAGAATCCAAGTTTGCATTTGACAGTACCTTTATAGCCTTCCTACTGTAGATAAAGAATGCAGTGACTCAAGAGATTTTACAAATGAAAAAACTTGTGTCAGAACTGTGAAATGTTTTGACATATCTAACATATCTAATCTCCCTTTTGTTTTAGTGAAGCAGTCAATTCACTGGACCTTTTCTCAGAAACATGCACTAACTGTGTTATAAATAACCTTCATGTATTTTCTATTATCAGTGCTTCTCTTATTATAAAACATTTGGACTAGTTCAATGACTCACCAATAAGCTGTAAGTAAGGAGAAGAAGTATCTGCATTTTAAGAAAAGAGAGGCAGTGCTAAGTTGCTGGCACAATCAGGGAAGCTAATTCAAGCCAGATTAGCATACCAATAAAAATAATTTTCTTTGCACATGGTAGAGCTAGACTCTGGATAGATGCTACCATAGGATAGAGAATAGAAGCTTGATTCGGCTATGTGTGTATATGCACGCATTCTTCTAAGGTCACCAGATTAATGGTTTTGCTGAGCCAGGTTTTAAAAAAGGCAAATCTAGAGTCCCTTAGGCAAAAGCCTATTTCTTTAAAGCTCTTGTAGATAAATGCAGTGTATCGAGTTTCTGATATAGAAGGCCACATAACTGCTCTGGTTCACACAAGGAAATCCAATCTAGCAGCAGCACATATCTGAGAAGAGAAATTTAACTAGTTTTAAAACAGAAGAAACAAATTGACACTGTACCTGGGCACGGCCTGGCTTTTGCACCCATCTTTCCAGGGTAAGCAGATGAGCGTTGAGACCTTTCCCCAGCTGATTAAGGAAGGTCAGGTTGAGGGGCACTCCGAATAAGGCATAAAACACACAGAAGATCTGCCCTGCCACTGTGCTGGGGGACAGGTTACCATAACCTGGAAAAAAAGAAGAAAACAGTTACACAAAAAGGCTTTACAGTAAAGCTACAGGCATCATGGAGAGTTCCTAAGCTTGGAAGCTCAACTACATTAAGCTTCATGAACCTGTGAATATATGATTTTCTGTAATTAAATCTGTCTGCAAATTGCCATAGTTTATGACGAAGGCCTGTGCGTTCACTACTACTAGTTGAAAATTGAACATGAAAAATACTACTCTTATAGGGAATATTGTAACTTGCTATAGGTTTCTGATTTTGTGGTGAGTGCAACTCAGAGCTTCAAAGCAACCTCAAGATGCGCTGTCCATGTACAAGATGATACTGCATGTACCAAGTAGGCACTCGGCTTCCTTGGCAGGTGTAAAATACTGGATACGCAAGAATAACAGGCATAACTGGAAAACAACAGAAAACTGTAACTCACAGTAGTTGACTGTCTTGCAGGTGTATTCTATCCACCAATTACACATTTCGGGGGGCTTTAAAGGATAGTTGGACAAAACCCAGGTTTATAGGGAAAGAGAGTACCTCACCTATAGTGGTGACAACAGTTCCTGCAAAAAAGAAGGAGTTGCTGAAGTCCCAGTTGCTGGGATTTGTAGAGTTTCCTTCTGGGTTGACCCCTTTTTCCCATGCTTCCATGAGGACCTGAGGTGGAAGAGGTCAAAGGAGCAAAGATGAGGAAGAATGTCAGAAATAGAGAGAAGTAAATACTGCTTTCCACCTTGAGCAAGCAGAGTGATAAACAGTGTAGATAACAGGGTAGAGTTGGACTAAAATGGACTACTGCTAACATGGCAAAACTTGGAAATAGAGCTGGCTAGGAACTTGAACTCTTGCCCCTGGAGAACTGGTCACTGAAGTAGGATCAGTTCCATAGCTAGATGAAATCTGAGGGGAAAGGAGTGGAGGGATTCCTCAAAGTGATCCAGCTGGGAAAAAAAAGTAAAGCTGTGCCATAAGAAATAAAGGTAATTCCTCTTCTCTTCTTCCATAGTCTAGTCATCTCATTCCAGTTTTTAACGTAGGCAAGTGTAAATGTGTCTGTGGGGAAGGGCATAAGGAACATGCTCATTTCTGTTTCCTCCATATAAGTACTAGTGAGGATGAATTTCTATTTTTGGCTTTGACTTCCCAATAATTTTCAATGAATACTAGGCTTCTCCTAGTCTGAAAGATTAACTAATAAAATATTCTCTGCTATTTCAGATAGCTCTTACCAGATGACTAAAACTACTGTGTGCTAAAAAAATACTGCTCCTGCATCAAACATCCTGTCAACTGCCTTAGTGAAGAATGTGTTCCTTTGCTGTCTCCAAGGATTTCTCTGAAGGAGACTGGTTTCCCTCTGCTCAGTGCCTGGGTTTTAAGAATCCCCTTGTTTGTCACATACCAGGTCACAGCTTTGTAATTGTGCAAAATGCCTAAGGAATTACTTGTTCATCTCTTCTAAAGACTTTGTATGATGCAAGACATGAGCAGGGTTTAATAGAAACACCAGCTTTAGCTGGTTTCAGGAGTATGAGACCAAAGAAGATTCTCTTTCTTGATTGAAATGGTGACTACTGCCAGAAGGATTGCTTTTCTAATGAACATACTCGCTATAAGGTATCCAATTTTGTACAGGTTTTGCAATTTTAAATGATCTGTACTGGTGAACTTGAGTACTGTAAGTTTAGTGGCTAATCTTATTTCTGCAGTAAAAAATCCTACAGCATTGGTCAAGTTTATCAGAGGGCTGCTGGGCATCATCCCATGTGAACTCATGACTGAAGTGTCAGCAGAGCTTCTTTTCAACACGATAAACAACTTTATCCATTAAAAACCTGTTCCTAGAATGGGAAGAATTCAACATGTCAAATTTTCTAGAGCTGACTATTTCATTTTCTGCTTAGAAGGAACACAGAGAAGCTACTAAGGTGTGAATACTTTGAAATGTCTAAAATAATCACAGATTTAATTTATTTCTGTAAGAAACACTTGACAGTTCTATGCATTTCAATGCACAAGAGTTCACAGGAGTTACATTCACATCATGAGAGTCAACATGGAAGAGTAAGGCAATTTTGAATGTTGAACCCTTAAGACACAGTCTGACAAGGTCACATTTCTTGGTATGATTGTTGCTTTTAAGTACAACCCCATGAAATAAATGCCTTCCTGGTGCCCAGGAGAATTGTTCCTAAAAAACCAGGTTCCTGTGGGACAGTTAAAATGGCTCCTAGCTCCTTTCATCTACAGTTCAGGTAAGGGTTATGGCTGGGGTGTGATCAGAGCAGCTGTTGAATGGTTGGCGAGCATTAGCTGTTGCCTTTGGGAACAGAAGTAGCCAGTAAGTAAAAGCAATGTGCTCTAATTTACAGCAGGAGTAAGAAACTTATATAAAGCTACAGTAGTATGTGGAGAGAATAAAAACTTCCTGCTCTTTCTCCTCCTGTCCCCCTGCTGATGCACATTGCAGCCACTTGTGGTCATAGACAAGGATTTGGTCCTTTCACTCTATGTTTAGATCAGTTCCTTTGAGGCTGAAAAAGTATGGACATAATCAAAATCGGGACTCATAAAGGGTACTTCCTTACTCAATGCATCTCAGTTATGTTGTCAGAATGCATAATTTCCTGAGTGATCTTTACCAGAGATGCATTAGATCACAGAATTTGGGTTTGCACTTTCCCAAAGCTCCAGGCTGCTCATTTTAGGAGCTGCAGCTCAGGGCCACCTCTCAGCTAGGCAGTTTTAGCCATGCAGAGCCAGTGCAGTTTATTGACATGGAATTGCAAGAATTTGTTTCCTGCACAATCGAGTCAAAAGTTAATGAATTATAAGTGGTAACTCTATTATTGGTGATCATAGATATGCAGAAAGAAACCAGGGTTGACTCTCACATTTCAGGATTTATGTTTAAAGAACAGGCATTAAGACAAGACATGTTATACTTGTTAGCTGAGCAGACTGAGTCTAGGTGCTGTGTCTCACTGCAGTCTGACTACTGTGACTTTTCAGACTGGAACTTCTGACATGATGAACAGGCCTTCTTAACCATATAGTTAAAACATGCAGAGACACAACTGTTTTAAAGTTAGAGATTTAATATGGGAAGAGTAGTATTTCCTAATATTAGTAAGAGTTAGACAAATTTCTTAACAAGTCTTATAAATAACAGGTGAGTCAGAGAGGACCTGCACTTCTGTAAACCTTGAGGACTATCAAGTCTAAGTACTTTGAAGCTTGGTGTATTGCAGGTGATTTGGTGCCCTCAGCCGACTCTATCTGGAACAGCTTACAAGTGAAATTTTATTTAATTCTGCAGAGACATAACAAAATGTGATTCTCTGAGTGGCATGGCAGTGCTAAGAAAGCTCCACCGGAGCCAGAGTGAGAAGAATCTGGACACATGTGAACCTTCCCTAAGGTTTCTACGGTAGCAGAGATTTAACTAAACCTTTCAATCCTATAAGGTATCCCAGTTAGATTTAGAATGAGCATCAGGGTTTTTGCCTTTACAATCACTATCAGAGAGATAAGGAAAGGACAGGTAATATCACCAAATGCTATAGCTGAAAAAAATAGACATGTTTCTAGGCATGTAAGTTCTTTTAAACTAGTAATTTTCTGGCCAATGTCCAATGTTCCACAAGAAATATATCACAATATTAGTAATCAGAACATGGGCTTTGTAGACAGAGGTTCAGGCACCTTTGCTACCCTTTCTAATCTGAAATTCACTGTTTGCTTAAATCCATTTACAAAATCTAGGCTTTTTGTTTATCAAAACCTTAGTGAAAGTCCTCCAACTTGGGCAGTGCAAACTCACAGCATGTTTAGAGCTTTTATCAGGTTTAGTGACATGGTAGAAAGAGTTCAAACTATTTAGGCACCCAGCTTTGCATCTGGGTAGATTCTGAGCACAAAGAAAGTGGTAGCTTAAGTATTTCTGTCCAGTTCTTGCAATACTAGTATGAGAAATACCAAGAAAGGTATCTCCTTGCAGTTTTGAGGAATAGATTAAAATGTAATTGAAGATGTCATTAACTGACAACCTATATTGAATAAGAGCTCTTTATCTCTTCTTACAAGAGAGATAACACAGTTAGTGATGGTTGGCTTTATCTTTTCTTTAGAGGCCTGCGAGTGCAGGGCCACCTTCAAAGACGGTAGACAATTCCTAGTACAAAAGGGCAGAAATGCACAGGACTGGAGAACCTGGGAAGGGCAACCTGCTTATTTAGGTTTGATTCTTGATTTTGTCCCAAAGCATAATTCCCTGTAATAATTAATGAGAGAGCCACAAACCATGAAGTTGAAATTACTGCAATGTAGCACAAAAACGCATCAGGCAGATTTACATATTTTGGGAGTTCGTGACTGGGAGAAGAAAGTAGTTCAATAGATCAAGATAAAGAGGTATATGAATGGGCTTGAGAAACCTCTGCCTTTAATTTAAACAGTTAGACCTTTAATATCATGGACAGCTGATCAGTTTATAACATGCTTGACCACAATAGTATAATTTTTTCTAACAAAAATAATGCTTGAGCCAAAATAACAGGAACCCGTTCCTCTTACCTGTACAAACTTCTCCAGGGCTTGTCTGTCCAAGCATGTGTAGTTCTGCAGGAAATTAAGTTTCTCCAGCTGGAACTGGTCCCGAAAGTGGGTCTCTGCCTGCTTCTCAAGCAGCTGGAACACCATAGCACCCAAGAGGAGGTAAAAGAGATACCCCAGTACCAGCAGCGGAGTCCAGCTGATCCGCTGGTTGTGTATGGCGAGGAGGGGCATGCTGCTGCTCTGCTGTTGCCAGTCCCTGCTCAGTACTTAACAGGTTACTGTCCCAAGATATGTGCTACCCAGAACACCCAGAAATCACACACCCATGTTCCCAGCTACTGCCCTGGAGAATTTTTTAATAGAACATACAGGTATTAGGGCTATACGAAATGAGACTAACAGAGAAATTTTATACCTCCACGTCTGTTCTCTATCCAGATCAAAAGGCGAGCATTTATGGCTTAATAAGAATGTGAATGATAGTGTTTTTCTTCTACTAAAACAACTTTTATCCAAAAATCTTAACCAAATGAATGAAGCCCTCTGAGGATGGTATTGGTTTCCAGGCTGAGAAGCTGAATCAAAACTCTGGTTATATGACTTACCCCGGGTCATATGGAGTCAAGGATAGACTCTTAAAGTCTTGACAAGTAAAGCCTTACACTAAACACTAGACTTCTGTACAAGAAAACGTTATAAACTCTAATTACAGCAGACTCTCCAGAACAAAGAAGAGTATAGAGCTGAATAAATGGAAAAGTCAATAGCTGCCGTCTGTACCATAAAAACATTGCTGGCACCAGTAAAAGCAGCATGATGGAGCTTAAAAACATCCTGAATTCAGCCTGGTCACACAACAGAACCTTTCTTTCTTTTCTAACCCTAATAAAATCAATCTCACTGCCTGGTGTGCTGCTCCTGAACTATTTGTCAGATGACTCCACCCTTTAGTCCATAGAGTTAGAGAATGCACCACTCATGCCTACTGCTTTCTCTCTCCATATTGCCTTTTTAATCCAAGTGCATAAGGGGGAAGGAGGGCTTAAGGTTAATCATTGGCCAAAAAAGTATCAGAGGTTCACTCATGGGAGCCTTAATGATTATCATGCACTGGAAATGAGCTGGGCTTGCATATTTTTCTGTAGGAAGAGCTTTATGGCAAGTGTCATCTATCCCACAGTGCTTCCAAAAGAAAACACACACACACACAGAAAGAAGGCCAGGTGGCTAGGGATGCAATTTTATTATTAAACTCCCTTCCTGTTAAAATGTTCTGGCTACAGATATCCCTCCTTTGCTTAGCATTCAGATTGTTTTCACCTACCTTTGAAAAAGAGTTAGTGCTCACAGAAAAAGACCGAAAAAAATTATTTCATTCATATCCTATTTGGGAAAATTCCTGTACTTGCCATTTGTACTGTGCTTGTAGCCTAGAGCCAGGCATCATCCAGAAGAGGATGACTGACTGGCAGCAGAAGGCTACTTAGCACTGTGAAAAGTGAAAACTATTGTGGACAGCTCCAAGGAGACCATCTCGGACTTTTGTCACCACTCTGTCAGTGTGACTGAGGGACAGAAAGACTTCAGTAGAGAAGGGCAGTGTGCAAGGACTCTGAGCCTTGGTGCTCTGATATTTCTTTTCAGCTGAAAAAGTGAAACATTTGGGAGGCAGAAGTTACAGTGGCATTGAAATTACTGAGCATGGCATTGAAATTACTGAGCACTTCAACATTATGAAGCAATCTGATCTGAAGCTACTGAGATGCCCAACTGACAGAAGGCCTTCTCTTGGTCTGTGCTAAGGGTGACAATTACTTAGTATCTAACAAGAACATCTCTGTTGTGTCTGATTTCCATAACTAAAAGGTACAGCTTGTTGTTCCATACCTTATGCCACGGTAAGGGTTGGCAAGCCTGGGATGTTGCACAACTGCTTGTTATAGTAGCAGGGCTGTCTCTGGTGAAAGATCCAGGTGTTTCTCATGTTGTTTATAGGACCTGTGTCTACCAGGCCAAGAGAATGACAGTCTACTGGTTTTCTGGAATGGGTGCAAACCCATCTGCATAGCTGGGCTGAGACAAATTTTCTCAGCTGAAGTACATTTCACAATTAAGGGTATGAAACTAATAAGATATAAATGAAAAAATAGAGCACTGAATCTCTTTTATGTCCCCTTCCATTCTGTTCAGTTCAGTTCAAGAAAGCATTCCAGCTGCCAAACTTGGCAGTCTAAATTATGCCTTAAGAAAAAATGTCCACTCAGGCTTACTTTTGGGATCTTAATTTTCTGAGGGTGTTGCGAATTGGGTCACTAAAAGTATAAAGGTGTTTTTACTTCTATACTGTAGTTATTCCTACTGGTTTGTTTTTTCCCTCCTTTAGTATAAGGTTGCAATATAGGAATCAAACAAAGCCAGATTGTGTGCAGCAGTCCAGAAGTTATGTCTTGCCACAGGAAAAAAAGAAACTCAAATATATACATTTGGAAGTAAACTGAAGACTTATGACTTTTGTTTGAGTTTTGAATATAGAAGAGGGAGTTCAGCATGGCTTACCACATCAGAAATTAAATTTGGTTTTGAGGTAAAAAGGCATAATATACAAACTGCTGAAATAACAACACTAGCAGATCCCTTTTGATGACAGGATGACAAAGCACATTGTCTAATCTAACTTCTCTGTTCCTCTTCTAATGCTCTTCTGATTAAAAAATAAATAAAACCCGAGTTCACAAACAGAAATAAAAAGTCCTGAACGCAAGAACTTCTTAAGAGTATCTGAACTTGGAAGTTGACTGTTCCTCAGAAGTCCTGCTTTTCCGGCCAATGTTGAACATAGGAGTGCATCTGGTCTCAAAGCTCAGGAATGAATTCTCACGACATATATTTTGAACCCAGGGCTGAACACAACCTCCTTGATTATTCCTTCGCTTATCATATTTTTCTTCCTCAATGTGACTGACCCAACAGGATCCAGCTTTTCTCACAAAAAATCTGAGCCATTCTGGAAAGGACATCCTGGTTTACAATCAACGTAATAGTAATTTTTTCATGTATTACTTCCATGTATTACTTGTAATATTTTCATGTATTACTTGGAGCAAATCAAAGGATGCAGGGTTCTCCAATTGCTTCACCTATTGTTACTACAGTCCCTAACAGACTTAAACATGGATAGATACAAAATAAAGGATGGGCCAAAAATAACTGACATGGTTTGCTCAATTTCTGCACTGGCTTTCAAAAGCCAGAAAAAATACCATTGTGATCAGTAGGAGTATAATTTACATTGACATAAATAAGCTGTTCCTAAAATAAGTAATAAAATGGTTGAAAGGTACCTTGGCTGATCCTGTCATTCACAAATTTCTGATGAAGAATGATTTTTCTGGACTAGTTTTTCTGTAAAGATCCAGGGATCCATTCTTCCACTTGCTATGCATTTCAGCTTGAACAGTTTGTACAACAGTTTGTACTTAATTGTTTTTAATTTGCTTTGCTCCTTGAATGACTTTTAGACTCTGCACCTCAGAGAATAATTAAGGAAATTATTTTAGCACCATGTTAAGTATAAATAACAGAACCATTGCATTTCTTCAGGCATGACACTGCCATCTGGGAATTTTCTACTTCTGATCTTGTTCTTACTCCAAATTTAAACCAATCATGATTGATGTGATTTGTGTTCACATAGGTGAAAACATGAAGCATTTTCAGATAAAAAGTATAAAGAATTCTAAGATTTCAACAGTATTTTTCTCAGACAGATTCCATGGGAAGAAGAAATAATTTCCTTGAATTCTGTGGTTATTGTATTGGAAGTAGATCTTGTTTTGTATTCTTCTATATAAATACACTTGAGTAAATTCACTGTTGGACCACAAATACAATTATTTGTTTAGTTCACTGTTTCTATCAAATGAAGCACTGCAGCTGCCCTAAAAAATGAACAGAACTTTGATTGTTGTGGTTATTAAAAATGGACTTTGAAAAGACAAATAAATTCTATATGGAGCTACCAAATATGCTCTATGTAACAGGACATTCCCAGATGTTCATCTTCTTGGCATTTGTATTCACCACCTGCATATTTGGTAGAGGCAATATTTACAAGATCTTAACATTTTGTTATGTTGAAGTGTTCTCAGTTTATACTATTGACATAAAATACTTGCATCCTGTGATTGATTAAACCAGGTAAGTGTATATTACATTATATGCTCACACTGTTACACATGTGAACCTCATTATTCCATTTCAAAGCCTCTTTCTTAAAAAGTGCAGGAGTGTCAGAGGGAGATTGAATTAGACATGTCCATCTTCCAAGCAAGAGAAACTCAAGGTTTTGTTTTTTTCTTGTTGAAGCTCTCTGGAAAGCTGCAGTGGCCAGGAAGTGGTAAAATGCCCAAGCCAAGAGCTTGTTAGCTTAAGGGTTTCACTAATGCCGTTCCAGACTGTGTATAGAGCCCTGGCAGACTCAGCATAAATGAGAACAGAGCCTTTGAGCTTTATTGTAAGTCTGGGTCACACCCTGACCCTTCCAGAAGCTATATTGCTGTAGGAGACCAGAGATGTGTATCTTTTTCTGAAATAAACCATGTAGAAGATTGGAAATGTGTTGAAATACAAGATGATCCACAATGTCTGGTATCAATTAATCTGAGAAATATGTATATGATATCTAGTACTCCACAGCTACTTCCTCCAGAAACCTCCACCAAAAAAAAAAAAAAAAAAAAAAGATTTATTCTGATTGCAGATAATAAAAAAATGGTATTTACCATATCAATATTGAACCAAATATCACGGTGAATTGACAGGAATAAGATATGTATGAGAATTTCCATGCTTAGCAATACTGTTTTACATGTGGCTTAGGGAGGAGTCAATACCAATAAATGTGGGCCTCTGATTGTTTCTTCAGTGTAGTAAATACTTGGGTTATTTCAAATTAATCTTGAAATTCTATGAAGAGAGATTATTAGAACAAGAAACTTTGTTCACCTGTGGCCAATTAAACTTTTTGAAGCAATAAATGCTTTTGTGAAGCCAAGTAGACTTAGAGAAATGCCCCAGTAGCCTTCTCACACCTGTGAGAAAGACATTAAGAAGCTGGAACCAGGCTTTTGACAGTGTGGCTTGTGAAAGGAAGAGAGATTATGGGCAAAAAAGAAAAGTTCAGGCTGGACATAAGGGAAAACGTTTTCATGATGAGGACAGTCAAACATTGAAATGGACTGCTTAGACAGGTTATGCAGTCTCCATCCTTGGAGGTTTTCAAGACCACATTGAACAAGGCCCTCAGCATCTTGGTTTGATCTCATAGCTGATGCTGTTTTGAGGAAGAGGTGAGTTTAAAGACCTGCTGAGGTCCTTTCCAACCTGACATTTCCTATAAACCCAAGAGGCAACTTTTGAAAAGTGGAGGCAGTTTCTTTGAAAAGAGAATGCTTTATGTCTGAAGACTGTTGTTTACTGAATGAGCAATCTTTTCTTTCCATATGATATTATGAAATTTTTCAAAGAAGTAAGAAAGCTTTGTATTTGTATATGTGGTTTTATATATTTATATAGTTTTCTATTACTGGCTGCACTTTTGTCCAAGTTCTTAAGTGTTTGGTATAATCTTACTCTCAGACTATTTTGCTAATCAGGGACTACTTTGTTGACAATGATTGAATTTCACACAGAATTTACAACAGTGTAAAAACCGGCTAGAGAATTTTGAAACAGAAGAGCAAGGAATTTTTTCTCTCTGTGAGTGAGATGTGAAGCAAACTGAGAACAGAACACTGAATCATCAAGTAATAGCAGCATCACATAGATAGATACCAGGGTTGCACTGGTATCCTCTTAACAAGTTACTTAAAGGTATTGGAAATGCTTCAAGGTCAAAAGGAAGGAGTTTTTGTACCAGTGATTTTCTTTTGGCCATCTTCATATAAATTCACCACAATGGGAATTCTACTGGAAACCAAAAAAGACAGCTGCTTCACCCAGCAACAGTTTGGAACCTCTGGCTCTTCTTCAGCTAGCAGGGTCAGTGGCCCTGCTCTCGTCAGAAACTGCATAAACAATAACTCAGTGTGTATTTAAAGCAGTGTTTATATATAACAGAGTGACAAGAAGAAAGACAGATAAAAATTCTGGAAGAGGGTCATTTTAATATAATCTCCAACAAAACAGCCATTTTTCCACCTCTGACCAAATCCTGGAACTCCCTCTTTCCAAAGCAAGAGTAGATCTGTCTTTTATCTCACCTTGTACATACTAAATCCTGCATAAAGATTACCAATTTCTGTGGTAGCTGTGCTGACTTTTACAGACAATTAAAGGGCAAAAAAAGGTATAACTTTAATTTTTTTAAATTGATTGCATATTAGTTGTTAATTAGATAAATGTATATCTTCTGTAGGTTTGAACATAGCAATTCACCACGTACCTCTGTATAATTAGGAATTTGACACAGAATTAAGTATCAATAACTTAAAGAAATATACATCCTTAAGAATATGTGACTTCTGTCAATACATTCTTTTATTTTTATATAAACCCAAATCCTTCCAAATGCATGACTATAAGATTATCACTAGCATGAAAAATTATATTTTCAGTCTGGTAGTAAGTATATCTCAGAGAAATAGACTGTATTTTGCATTGCATTTTTTGATTTTGGTCTGATGTGTAAAATAAGTTGTTACATATGTAGATATTAACCAATACAGTAGTACTAGAGCCAACAGTGAACTTACATTTTATATAAGATATAACTGCATTTAAACTTTCACATCTCATTTGTGTTTTAGAAGTATTTGCTCAGTTCTATTTTAAACCTCTTAAGTGTAATTGTTTCTTTGGAAACCTGTATATTCTGGGAGGGTTTATATTTCGCACAACACTTAATCCATTCAAATAAAAAGAAAACAGTTGGGAAAATTACTTTCTAAAATACATTTTTTTATATTACAAGACAATCTCAGTATTCTAATAATCTGATATGAAAACTTCTATTCCTTGGAGGAAAAAAAAAGCTTCAAATGAAATTCTATAGAATTTTATAACCCAGATAACTACTATTATTGAATAGATATCTCTTAATGGTAAATAGGTGTAATTAATAAAGCCTTATGCAAATTGATGCAAACAAAACTATCAGTAGTAATAAGTTTCCCAGATTAAAGATGTAGAATAGCATTAACACATTAGATAATTTTAACATTTAGAAAACATACAATGAATTCTCATAAACAAACATATTTGGTGAACTCCTGATTAGTTGTTTCAGTTTTGCATAATCTTAGTGCAAGATGAAGATAGTGAGTGCAAATACTCAAAAATCTATTGCCAGAGAAATGGATTTTGCTGTCAAAGACGATCATTTATATACCTTTAACAATTAAACCTGTACATCTACAGTACTTACTTGTACCTGTTTCTAAACAGAACAGGAAGGGAAAGAATAAAGGTCTTTCACTTTTTCTAAAAGGAAATGGTGGACTGTGACAAGAATTTCATTTGTTCTCCAAGCCTGAAAGGAGATAAATAATACATTAGACTATATTTTAGGTTGCATTGTCAGTTTCAAAACAAATTTCAGAAACACAAAAGAGAAGAAAGAAGAAAAAATCTTTTAATTTAAAACTTTAAGACACAAAATCATTAATGTACTCTTCTGTGTTTTCATTTCTCTACCTCAAGACTGAATAAGGCAACAAAAGCATGTTTGAAGAGTAGCCCTTTGTAAAAAGCTTTCCAATGTAGTTATTACAATCCTTTAACAATCCCAGCAAGGCCCTGTGAATGTACCTGCTTTAATTCCGCTCTGTTTAGAAAGCAAACAGTAACGACCTACAATCCCTGAGGTAATCTTTACTGAGACCTCTCATTCCCACTCCTGCACTACTGTCACTAAGGATATTGAGCATTCCCATGCTTTCTGTTTATGGAACTTATTTTCCACTCTGTTGGCTTCTGCACACATTTATCCTTCCTCCCCCCCGCCACCCAGCTAATGTAAAGTAAGGCCCTCAATTTGCTTCTGAAATACTGATATAGAAGTTTGAAAGGGTCAGGATCAATAAAGGAAAGAGTAGTAATGATGTTGAGACTTTTTAGGCCTAGCAGTCTTTAGTTTGGCTGACCCTATGCTTCCTCATGTTGTTTCCTGCAGGGCACTATGTGTGTTAACAGTCATGCAGAGAGTGAATGCATTTGCATGCAAATGCAGAAATGATTATTGAACATCCCAGTTGAAGAGAGTTTGGGAAGGAGGCAACAGAGCACTGGACTGGGACTCAGCACATTTAGTTTCTATGTGAAAGTGTCTGACTCAGCTTAATGGGTTCAGGCAAATAATTTCTCTTTGGTTTATTTTGTATATGTTTGAAACTTCTTGAGGA